CCCCCCCCCGCCGGGGGGCCGGCCGCCACTCCGGCCCCAGGATGCAGAATGTGATTAACACGGTGAAGGGAAAGGCACTGGAAGTCGCCGAGTACCTGACCCCGGTCCTTAAGGTAAGCCAGGCCGGGCTTGCCAGGGGCTGTCAGGCACACGCTCAACTCTGCCAGGACTGGGCGCCGAGGCGTCCCTCCCTTCTTCGCCGGCGGGGAAAGGAGGAGGAAGGTGGCAAGGGTGGGACACGGGGAAAAGGCGCGGCCCCCGCCCGCGGTCTCACCCGGCTTTTCTTGAGGGCTTTCTGGCTCTTCAGGGGTGCGCTGCAGCGACGCTCAGTGTGTGTGTTCCTGTCCTCACCCGTCATAACTGCGCGCCTGGGTACGTCGGGTTGGAAGGTGGTGGGCAGGTGAGCAGCTTTAGGAACCCTGAATTCTGACGTCGGAAGTCTTTTAGACTTTTTAAACAAGGACTCTGCTTATTGTTATTTTTAGTGAGAACAGTATTTCGTGCTGCAATGACATAGGTATCCCTCCTTTTTTTTTCTTCTTTCAAATTTCATAGACCGTCTCTAGTTATAAGTCCGAGATAGGTGAGTTGTGACTGAAGCCCTAACTGGCTTGGATTTCAGAGGAACGAGGTGAAATTTGCAACATTGTCTCATTCAGTAACCTTGAACCCAGCCGACAAGCCAAGCCTCTTTCTGCCAAACTTTTAAGATAGCCGCTGCTGGTTATTAACCTTAGACCAGTGATGATAAGGAGCAGCTTGGTCCTTCCGTATATATAATTTTTTGTATATGGGCAACAGTACAGCATTTTCAAAGTAAATGTTGTAACAGGATAGCTATTAAAAGCAGTGACTGATTGATTTCTTATTTTCAAAGGTAAATTTCTGGAACTGCCTTCAAGTTTTTCTTTTATAAGAAAAACTTTTAAACTCTCTTGGAGTTTTTTTTTTTTTTTTTTGGTGATTCTTAGTTTTTTTGTTTGTTTTTGCTTCTTGAAAAGTGAGCAGCGTTAGTAAATGAATTGCAAATTCTTTCTTAGTTTTTATTTTTTCAGTTTTCAATTAGAATTTTACCAGTCTCGGTGTGGGATAAAATATTCTGATATTCTGGAAGAGTAGTGGACTTTGCTCTCTTTCTGTGACAGAGGGAAATGTTAGGTCTGTACTTTTTTAATATGTTATTTCTAAGACTCCTTTTAAAACAATTCGTTGTTGGCCAAGTAAGAAGAAAGTCGAGAGGGGGTCTTGCTCGTACCAGGGTGTGATGGAGGGGGAGATGTGGGGGAGAGGAATGCCCCCCACACACACAAAAGAAAAAAGTCGGAAATGACTATAAATGAGAATTCCAGCTCTTGCTTTGCTTATATTTTTTACTATGACAGTTAATTAAGATTACTCACTTAACTATTTAAAATTTTTAAATAATTTTGACATTTGATTCAACTGCTTCTTTTACATATTACCTTTTTAGGATAGCATGTCTTTGTAGGTATATACATTTTTATACACAATTGTTACAATTTTTAGTTTCAGGAAGAGAGGAGCAAAATACTTCCCAAATTACATATGAAATAGCTATTTTATAGGCCAGTTTTATTGTATTAACTTTATGACATAGAATTATGTTTTGAGGACTAATTCAACTTGTTCGCCAAAGTGAATAGGAAGTGTTAGCATGTCAATATGTATGGTATATACTTTTAGTAAAAAGGAAAGCACAATTAATGACCCTCCCTTTGTCACTCCTGTGCAAACTGAGAGAATTTTTGTAGTTTCCTGCTAATGACAGCAAGGAGATAAACAAAATCTCCAGGAAAGAAATAATGGCCTTCCCCTAGCAAATAAAAATTAAGAAAAATTGTGGTTTTTTGGAGACTGTACATGCAGTAAAAGCCAGAGTTCTTACAATCATCGTTAAGGCTGTTCTTGATGGGGAAAGGCCCCAGTTTCATCTTCTTCTGTATCACATGATCATTCTTGCTTAAGCTAACCTGGCCTCTTTCTTATTCCATCAAGCACACTCTTGGTTCCAGGATTTTGCGTGCTCTTCCCTCTGCCTGATATGCTTCCCCCCACATCCTTATGGGTTTTTCCTTTCCTTAAGGTTTTCAAGTCATCTCAATGACTCTGTTCTCTTACCATTCTGTTTTAAGTGACTATCTCTCCCCCAGTACCCCACAATTCCCTCTCTGCTTCATTTTTTTGGTAATATGGCATTCATTGCCATTTGGCTTTTCTTCAATTAGAGTAAAAATTCCTTATAAGGCAAGAATGAATTTGGGTCTGTTATATTTACACTTTATCCCTATTGCCTCACATAGTGCCTGGCACATATTTGTTGAATGAATGATGTTCAGAAGTGAGACTTTACATTATTGTAGACTCTACCACAAAATTTTACATATAACTTAAAGTTTAGAAAAATGTAGTCATTAGCAACCTTGCTATAGAGAAGAGAATATTGTGTCAGTATCTTGGTGGAGGTGAGAATAATGGGAAAATGTTAAATGATTTATAATACTATGTATGTCTACAGAAGACATTGGCTGAATTGTAAGATGTCTAAACATCTCTAAGACATGCTTGCTGTGCTGTGCTGTAAAATAAAAACTTTTGTTCATTTCACAGAACCACCGTGAGGCTTCATTTTTATTTAAACCTTTGAATGTTTACATAGATGACACTGATCACATAGTAGTATAATTCTTTTCATGTCTTTTTCCTACATTAGACATGTATATTCCTGTAGTCAGGTACCAGTGAAATAGATACATATAAATAGAAAGAGATGTAGATAAAGATCTCTATATATGTATTTGTACATGTTTCCATTGCCTAGAAGGGTACTGGCAAATGTCTTTCCCCAAAACATTTTTAATTGAAAATAAAAGATGACATAATACTGTTTTTGCTTTCCTTTAGGAATCAAAGTTTAAGGAAACAGGGGTGATCACTCCAGAAGAGGTAAGTGTTGAAGATATGCTGAAGCCTTTATAGTTTATGATTATATTAAACTAGGTGACTTTTCTGTTTTTTAAGAAAACATCTTGAGCTTTCATTTTGATTTGAGTAAAATTAGATTTTATTATTTTAATCACTATATTAGTGATTTGTGGGGATTTGTACTTCCCATAGAAGGAAAGATGTAACTTCCCTCTCAGTTTGCCACTTCTCATATTTCT